TAAAATGTTTTTTGTTCTTTTTGTTTTTGTTTTGTGTAGTTTCTTAACTGCCGCAAATGTTAAAAAATGTTGTAGTGTATATTTTTGTGTGTGGTAAAATGTTGTTATGTTGATGTATTTATAGGTTCATGTTTTCAAAATGTATGTTTATTGTAGTGGCGTTCATTCTGTGTCTAACAGTCCGTTTAAGCTTTAATATACGGACAACGGCACATCAGACTACACATCTTTGTTCGAAAATGTAACGAATGTAACGAGACCAAATAAATTACTTTTCTCTCTTTCTTTCATTTGAAACAGAGACATGATTTTTTTTATTCGGTCCACAAAACTGGATATAATTCAGACATAAACTACAAGTATTTCATTTATATAGTGACACGATAAGAATGTATTCCACTTGATTGGAACACATCAAGCAAAACAGGCCAAAGTAACTGCATAAGTGTCATAATATGAAATAAGTGACAGTAACTCTAAATTTTAAGTATTTTAAGAAAACTCAACTCAAGTCTGTCGTATAGTTAACATAATAGACACTTTCTAATTGAGTTCCTAGCTGAGACCACAGAACCAGAGAAAATACCGAAATCAAAACGGATACCATTGTAAGAAGAACACATGCGATGCAGTGGACAGTGTTGACCGAGGTTGGTTCTACAAATAGGGATCGAAAATGCTTTACGATCTTGCAGGCGACTGCCAGGATGGGGGACGGAGAAACGTAAACGTTGAAGGATGTCAGGTGCAGCAATAAAGCCATGATGATAACTATATGAAAGCAAAAGACAGAGTTACCAAACAGGTACTTGAGATTATCACAAAAGGCAAACACGACACTTAACGATAAAATGTATAAAGTCATGTTCATCAATTACACTTCCGGACACTTGAATCGAGCCACCTTGATTTTTTTGGTTTGGAGTACTGTAACTTGTAAAAAATCTATGTAGAAGGAAAATGTTTTGATGCAGTTTTGGAGCTGGTTTAATCAACATTCATTTAGAGTGCCACTGTTCTAAATTTGAACTACAGTTTATTAAAAAAGTCGAGTTACGTTGAAACAAGTCCATATTTGCTTTTTTCAAAGAAAAAAATCTAATCGATTTTTAAATAAAAAAATGTTTTAAATGAAAAGAAATGTTTATTTAGTAACTTGTATTGCCTCCCCGTGCATTAATGAATTAAATGCATTTCAAGGCCTGTTGAAACACTCAAGATTATTTTACTGCCAGTTATAATGACTTGCAAAGCCGTCATCATTGCTGCGTTCAACAATATATAATAAGGCTCAATTCACATTGCCATTGCCAATTTACCATACCATACCATACTGAAATTTTAATTTATAATTTTTAATTTACCATACCATATTGAAATTTATGACACGAGCCATAAAACCGGTCGCGCCTCTTCCGGAGTACTCACGCGCAGTCTCGAGATTTCTCGCAGCTATGGTGCTAATAATAGTAATAACTTTATTGATAACCATTAACAAATACAGGCAAGATACAGTACTTAGTTATTGTTTGGTTGCCAACCAGTTAGGCTATATCCAGACCCTACAAAAGGATTTAAAGCGAGGTATTTCAATGCAAACCTACGTTGGCAATTAGTATGAATAAAATAAGAACAGGCGGAGAAAATTTGACAGAGATCCGCCGTCGACAAGCGCCTGATGGCGACTGTCTTTAAACCGCTGGGTAGCTTTCAAATTTTGGGAAAAATGTCAATTTAATAATTATAGGCCTTCAGTTGAAAACTTCTCAGGTTCTCTGTAGTATTTAAAGAGAAATATCTCCAAATAAAAATGAGTTTTTAGGATAAAGTACCACTTTACCTATTTCTGCCGCCAAATCTGCTACCCGTTTTGAAGGAACCTAAAGGTGCTGGTGAAATTACAGGCACATGGGATTTGTGAACATACATATGTCACAGGTGCAGTGCCTCTCAGATCTTTGCGACTTAAAGCTCTGAGCTTCACTGCAATTGTCATGGACAGGAGTGTCGCTTACCGCCAAATTCACAAATGTACGTAACTTAGTAAATATGGTTATAGGTACCGTCAAACCGTTGGACTTCCGAAAAGAGAAGCTCTAACATCGTTCGAGTACGATCTTAAGTAATAGAAGCAACGTAATTCTCTGACTCAAAGTTATTCCCACTTCGGATAATAAATTTAAACTTTTTTCACCAAGGCGAAGCGAAGTCAAATAGAAAAAGGCAAAGAAATCGCGATTTGCTTACCGGTGCGAGAGAGCTTTACGAACGAAGTGAACCGTGAGATGTGATTAAAACGTTATCTTAGAAAAAATGACCCTCTTGTGTAATCGAGCGTGGAGTTTAAAGGGTTAAAAAAGTTAGTATTATAATTAAGAGATTCAAACTAACCTTCCGCCATATTGGGTTTATTACGATTATATTCATATATTTTATAAATTTTGTAAAAATAGTTAATGATAATAATAATGCACAAATTCATAACCCCACACTAAGGAAGCAAGACAGGTGTCATGGACACACATATAGACAACCACAAATTACACCCAAACTTAGGCCATACAAATATTTCTTCCGGCCCGGGAATCGAACCTCTGCAAGGCAAACTAGACAGTAGAGCATAGGTAACCGTTCGGCCACGTATTATCGTTACAAAGATCGAACAGCACAGAGAAAAATTCCTTCGATCTCACTGGCCTCGACTCAGCGCATGTCGTCTGTCGTGCCGGTTAAATCGCGTTCATGTGTTTTTTCAAACAAATCAACGTTTCTAGTCCTTCACAGATCCCATGGTCATGGCTGACAGAGACTGTCTGGCGAGAGTCAAAGCCAGGGTCTGTAAAACACAATTGTAAAAATATCAATTCTGACAAAAATATCGTAGCAATCAACATAATAATCACATATTAACTACCATGGACCGAAAATGGCCAAAGAGTTTGAATAGATTACAAATCATAGAGTTAATATAAAAAATTAGAATGTCGATATTATTATGCGATATAACTCTGAAATTCAGTGGCATACGTTGCGTACTCCCACATGTGGAATGAGGTCATTAGCGAGAGTCTTAGAGTGTACAAATCTCCAAGGCCTTTGACTGCGTCTGGCATGCAAGTATCACTCGAACGGTATCTTTGTTGATCTTTATAACTAGATTTTAGAGTTCGTAATCTATTTGTGACATGTACGATCAATATCAATAATGCACTATCCGACGCTATCACAGGCGTTTCTGTTCAAGTGTCAACTTGAGGCGTTAACGTTGTTTGCGTTAAAAAAGTAAAATATTATAAAAAATAAAAGAATTGAATAAAAACAAAAAAAAATGAGTTTTACTGGCAAATCAGTGATAGTCACAGGCGCAAGTTCCGGTATTGGAGCTGCCACAGCCATATTATTTGCTGAACAAGGAGCCAGCGTAGTCATAGTGGGACGTAATGAAACCAAATTGAATTCTGTAACTGGAAAACTTCCAAAGAATGCCAAATCATTGATCCTTAAAGCTGATGTCACTAGAGACGCTAAGAAAATTATTGATGAGACTGTGAAAAAGTTTGGCAAAATTGATATACTGGTTAACAATGCAGGATTTGGCAAACAAGGAAGTCTCACTGATGGAAAATTCTTGGAAGCTTATGACAGTATTATGGAAACCAACGTGAGAGCTGTAGCTGAACTTACTATGTTAGCTCTTCCACATCTAACGAAGACTAAAGGGAATATCGTCAATATATCTAGCATTGCGGCCAAAATAGTGCCCGCTGATCCAACTTCTTTGCCTTACTGTGTTTCGAAGGCTGCTTTGGATCATTTTACAAGAGGAGCAGCATTGGAATTTGCTTCTAAAGGTATATACTTCTATACATCTATATTTAGTGAATGCATTATTATAGATGATCATTGGATACTATTAGACGTTTTTCGATTTACTCACTTCGGGATCTAGTTAATTTGAGATGTAAAAATAATTCTAATTCACGTGCGTCATTTATTAAACTGCCTCCGTGGCCGAACGGTTACCATGCCGGACTGCCACGCAGAGGTCCCAGGTTCGATTCCCGGGCCGGGAGAAATATTTGTATGGCCTACATTTATTTCTCTCGTGAGTTTGGGTGTAATTTGTGGTTGTCTATGTGTGTGTCCATAGCATCCGCGACACAGGGTTTCCCTAGTGCGGGGCTATGTTGATTGTGAGCGTTATTGTGAGCGTTATTAAGAATGTCACCTAATCAGAATATAACCTCTCCAGTTTGACAAATTAATTCTGGGGAATCTCGAAAACTCATCCAAAGATTATACACTTTTCATCATTGGTTAATGATTTTCCGGGAATAAATATAAGAATCATCACGGTGAAACAACACATTTGCACAATAACAAAATATTACACAAAACTATAGGGATCGACTGCTGTTACGGTATATTTTGAAAAAGTTTAATAAAAACTTCTCCATGTTGCAAGTTCTACTTCAAAGCCTCAATCAACCTTTACTGACGACAAATGAATGACCAATAACAAATCAACTGATATAGTAGTGTTAAGAGATTGTTACAAGTTACCTCTCGTTACAATACATGTTATTCTGTTCTTTCTTAGTAACGGCGCACCCCAAAATGCTCTAAAACATTTACCATTTCTTACAGGTATCAGAGTCAACAGTGTCAACCCTGGGCCTGTAGCAACAGACTTCTTCACAAACATGGGTCGCGATGGCGCTCTCGAAGTCATTAAAGAGAGAACTGCTCTGAAAAGATATAGTACTTCCGAAGAGATTGCCGAATTAATTATGTACCTTGCTAGTGATAAAGCCCAAGGAATCACTGGTTCAATTATGGTTATTGATAACGGATGTCTTTTAGGACATTAAAATGGATAACACAGGAGATGGACTAAAGAACGTAGCAGAGACTGTCACAATTATCGGTCACTACCCGTGTTTCCACATTCACACAAAGCTATAGAAACTAAAATCGTGTATTGAAGGTTCAACTAATACTACAACTTCGAGTTAAAACATTTTGAATCAAATATCAATACTATCGTAATCGTTCCAGGACATAAAGGTAACTAACACCTCAGATTTTACAATTTAATGATTTTGTTTCACGAATATTGTAAATTTGTTTCACATTATCTTGATTTTTGTTTCAAATTATGTTAATCATAGTTTTATTAAATGTTTATTTGTTTTTTATTTCTTTTACCTTTGAAAATTCAATATTGTAAATTTGTTTATTGAATCTTTAATCTATTTATACAGCCAATACTTCCTCTCCTCCTCCAAGGAGACGATTTGAGATATAGTCTGCCTCGCTGGCCCAATGTTGGTTAATCGAGTTACGAAGGTTTTCCAACACGCAGGTTTCATTACCATCTTTTCCTTTACCGTTAGCGAGTGAGGTGTTGCTAAGTTATCTACAATAGACGTAAAGAACTTAAGAATCGATACTACCTTAGCTTGAATTCAAATTTTTCGGAATCGGTTCTATTGCGCAAGTCTAAGGGCAGGGACACTGGCTTTAATTCAGAATGTATTTTTTTACAAACGAATTCAAATCCATTTGAAAAATATATATCATTTTTCCGGATTTAAATCGCGTATATTTGTTTTTTTCAAACAAACCGACGTTTCGAGCCCTTTACAGGTCCCATGGTCACGGTTGACTGAGGTGGTACAGTCTTCAACCAGTTATGTCTAATATTGATGCAAACCACCCTATTTTTTTCACTATAGTTACAATAGTTATTAATTAAATACCTTATTTTATTTTTTTTAAATAAATTATTTTTTTTTTGCCTTATTTTAAATACGCGATTTAAATCCAGAAAAATAGTTTCATTTCCTATGTGTAACAATCGCGAAAACCTAAGAACTCGACAATCAGTGTATATTCTGTATTTTACTACATATTTTTTTCCAAAATGATTAATTCAACAATTTCACTATTGCGCGGAATCAACCAATGCCATTTGAGGTTGTATGTGTGATTGCCATGTGCGATTCGCTCCATCGATATCTCAATTGAGAAACGGCCATCCTCTCACTAGTCTACCGTAAGTCGGTTGAAGCATCCAAGTAGGTCGCTGAAGAGACAAAATGTGTATAGACGCTAGTCCAACCCGATGGGACTTCAATACCCCAACATAGCCCACGCTTACTGTGTGCCCCTCGTGCCTGTACGAGGGAAGATCTCTACGCGGCAACGGATAGTGCAGTCAAGGTAGCAACATATTGTTCAATATGTCCTAATATAAAAGAAACATTGACACAATAAGGAGAAGAAGACTAGGCTACCACCGCTTGAAACATTTAACATTTAAATCTGTGATTTTTTTCTCATTAAAACACAATACCAACAAAATCTTTTGAGTATTACTATAGGGCTTTAGGATATGATATATTAATGACTAATTCAGGTAGTAGTTACATTGCTAATTCGAAACAAAACTACAGTTTCTGGATCTGTATCGCGTATATTAATTATTTCAAACAAACCAATACTTTGATAATGTTAATAGTTTTGTTTTGTTACAATACACAGCGATAATAATAATAATGTATAGAAATTTATAAACATTAGTGTGAAAAGCATCAAGTAGGAACACATACAAATTGTATTCCAAGCCATCTCCAGTATCAATAATATTTATCTTCGTTCTGTGACATGACAATCGTACGGAATATAATGGCGTAAATGCGAGTTACTTCAAACTGCAAACGTAAATAAATCTATATATCACCCACAATGTAATTGATATAATTTTGTTTAATTTTAAAATTTGTCAGAAATTACTTACTTTTGTCACATACAAATTCACACAGATCTTAAAACAGGTACGAGGTTAGATCAATCAATTCTGGTCAATTAAGATATATGAACTATCTAGTACATTTTTCCTATTATACTAATATTGCCCACTATAAATTTAAAATTGTCTAAGTGCCATCAGATTCTGGTACACCTTATAATATAGTTGGTATCTGTAATTTCTGCAAAAATAATCGTTAAGGTAAATCTTTCAAACCTAACAGGTATCGCCTAATTTGCTATAGCATATTAGTAAATATAAAAAACAACATTACATAAAATCTACAATTTGGTGTCCACAGTATTGGTTTTATTGTTATCATGTCCATGTCGGTGACACTAAACGGGCTACTGCAGCAGATGCTCGAGCTAACACTACTACCATATAGACATTCAAAAATACCTATATTTGGTTTAGTAATAACGGGTATACAAAGTAATTGCTTATTGACGAGAACAGAATATAAAGCTTGTACAGGCTTTGACAAAAAGCTGCAACAGTAATTTGAGATATGATAAAAATTACTTCATTAAAATGATATTAACGTGCACATGAATGGAAATTTCTTATAGTAATGTAACATTGTAGCATTGAATAAATGGAATAGAATTTCAAAAGACATTGCATAATATTTATTTTTAAGTAGATGCACAAGAGATAAGCAATCAAGTATACGTTATCTATAAGTGTAATGGAAACAATAAATATAAATGAAAACTATTCCTTATGCTTGCTTTATATTGAATTGTGCACTTAATACAGACGTTAGAATCTTTTGGACGACAGGAACTGTTATATAATAATATAAAAGATTTTGAAGAAACGGTGCAAGAAGAAAAGGGAAGAAAATATACAGACGGAATATAATTTGAACAAGTGCTGTAACAGAAAAATAGAAATGCCAAAAATGAGTTTTGCAGGGAAATCAGTGATAGTCACAGGGGCGAGCTCCGGTATTGGAGCTGCTACAGCAATATTGTTTGCTGAACAAGGAGCCAGTGTAGTCATAATCGGACGAAATGAATCTAAACTGAATGCTGTAGCCGGAAAACTTCCAAAGAATGCCCAGCCATTGATTATGAAAGCTGATGTCACTACAGACGCTAAGAAAATCATCGATGAAACTGTGAATAAGTTTGGCAAAATTGATGTACTGGTCAACAATGCAGGGTTTGGTAAATATGGTAGTCTTACTGATGGGAAATTCTTGGAAGCTTATGACACTGTAATGAAAACCAACCTAAGAGCTGTAGCTGAACTTACTATGTTGGCTCTTCCTCATCTAACGAAGACTAAAGGAAATATTATTAATATTTCAAGCGTTGCGGCTATGTCTGTACCGCGTGATGCAAGATCCCTAAGTTATTATATTTCAAAGGCGGCTTTGGATCATTTTACTAGAGGAGCAGCTTTGGAATTTGCTTCTAAAGGTACGTACTTTTATGTAGGGAACTACTACAGGGACATCAACGTGAGTTTACTCTTCGGTCACCTAGGTGGTTGACCAGTTTGCATTAATTTGAGAGAAGAGCTTTTCTAAATTGGTTCTGGTCAGGGTGGTCTAAGTAGTGCACCGTAGAAAACAGAATTCTCTAGCTAGAGCTCATGTAACTGATTTTAGTTATTAGGCACATTATTATTATACAAGCATATTAAACAATTCACTTCAGAACGCGCGAATACTATTGTTTCAGGTATTAGAGTCAACAGTGTCAACCCTGGACCTGTAGTAACAGACTTCTTAGAAAATATGGATGCCGAAATGAGCTATGATGACGTTAAGAACTTCACTGTTCTGAAAAGAGTTAGTACTGCCGAGGAGATTGCCGAATTAATAATGTACCTTGCTGGTGATAAAGCACAGGGAATCACTGGTTCTATTATGGTTACTGACAATGGGTTTCTTTTGAAACGCTGAAGTGGATAACGCAAGAGGTGATCCAAACTGTCGCAATTATAATAAAACATAGAAGATAAAATTATGCGTTATATGCCAAACCATAATAATACGAGTATATATAAATCATGATTCATTGATTCGTTCATTTCATTTTTATTTTGTAATTATTGTACTAACAGTGGAATAGATAGCTTGTAAGTTTACTAACAAAATATTGTCTGCGATAAATGATTTTTATTTAATTTTTTTGTTTATTTTTAACCGACTTCAAAAAAGGAGGAGGTTCTCAATTCGACTGTGTTTTTTTTTTGTATGTATGTTACGCGATAACTCCGGTATTTGTAAACCTATTTTCATGATTCTTTTTTTGTTGGAAGGGGGGTACTTCCATAATGGTCCCATTTCATTTTTAAGAAAATCATCCACCTCTAAGGGTGGCTGTTCACGCATGAAGATTCATTTTTATAAATAGCGACCAAATTTTACTTAGGAGCAATTATTTTAATGGTTGATTTTGCTATTTCTCCAATCCAAGGCGTTTTTCTCTCCATATACTTTGAGTAGTGAGAACCGATTTTTATTATCTCCAGTGTCAAGTCCTGTTTAATGGCGAATTTACGGATATTTCAATAAAACTAAGCAAACAGACGTAATTCCACGTACTTTTGAGGTCGGTTTTTTTAGTACTTTGTACTGAGATTAATAAATTATTTGAAAACTATTCTGCCATATCATTACTGTGACAACTGCGCTCCGATTGGCCAGCCCGAATTCGAAACAATTGACGGGTGTCGTCAACTGTTTCACTTCAAAAGGACCACTTAATTTGAGCTTTGCTATAATGGACGAAAATTGCAAAATTACCTATTTAATATTTAATTACCGATGAAATGTGATTCCGTTTGTTTTGGAATTAGATGTTTTGCTGTTTTTCCCACACCACCGAATAGAACAGCACGGCATTGTAAGAGATATTATCTTTATCACAATAAATACAGAATATTTTTTGGAATATACGGAGACGTACACACAGGTCAGTAGTTGGCCTGTCTATATTTCAGTGCAAACGGGAGTTGATATTTATAAGAGCTGTATCGCTAATGTGTTACCAGGAATATATGACCCTTATTTCGTCTCTATTTCTGATTATATACTCGATGAGTTCAAGTAACTCAATTTCAAAGTATCTTCGTAATTTAATGATGTTTTTTTGTTTCATTAGTAGTGCCATTTTGCTCAGCGCTGTCATGATTATTACTTGTAAGTAATTCGTAATTACAAGAAACTAGTGAGGTAACTTCACAACAAATAATTGAATATCATGGTGGTAATACATTTTGTGTGAAAATTATTACAATTAATAGCGACATCTATAGCCAGGGCTGGTAGCTGTAAAGGTACCTAACTGGGTGACGAAATACTTTTATAGATTTCTCATACGGCTAGAAAGTCCTTGAAAAACCAAATACAAAGATCCAACAACAAGTACATGGAAAAATTCGTGAGGACCGCTGGTTCGTTCCGTGGCTTAGTTGACATAGCGTCTGGCACGGTTTGCTAGGAGACGTTGTTTCGAGTCCGGCCGGATCGAAGAAGTTTTTTCTAATGTACCGGGTTCGATTCCCTAGTTTTATTTTCCCTATGAAGGTAGAAAATCAAACAAAGAATTACGGTAATTTAGAATAATTATAATAAAAAATAATTAATTCACGAATTAAAATTAAAATTTAAAAAAAAGTGTACATATATTTATCACGGGTCGTGGTATCGCCTTAAGACTTTAGGTTTTACGCTTCCGAGTATGGTACCCCGTCCTGTATATTTGCCGGCGCAGAAGAAGGACCACAGGACGAGCAGCAATTGGTACCCGTTCAGCGGATGTTGTTTCATCCTTTCATCTTTTCAGTCCGGACGTAGTCAAGCTCCAGGTGTATGAGCCCGAAGGAAGCTCAGCAATGGTAGTAATTGCCAACCCGAAGGTAGTTTTTCAACCCGAAGAAGACTCTCCAACCCGAAGGTAATTTAATCTGAAGAAGACTTCCTGTAACGGACAACCAACTTAACTACCAGTTGTACCAGTCCTTTTGCCTCTGAAAGCCCACAGACGGCAAAAGAGAATTAGAGAAGAGCACCTACATAGTAGCAATTACCGGTGGCGCGACCAGAGCGGAATTGCAGTCTAAATTGTGTAAAAATAGATAAAAAAAAGAATTTAGGTAGTAAGGCTGAAGGCCGAGACGTTTGCTTATTGTTAGAAAAGAATAAAAACTGAATAAACCAAAGAAAACAACGTCTGGTGAAAAAATACAATGAAAAAATACAAAATTTCAAAAATTAACGAACAATCGTTAATTTTTGAAATTTT